CCACAGCTCCTTCTGTAGTCCCTCTACCTCTATCTCTATCTCACCACTGACTCTGATCAGTGTTTCTCCTCTGGATAGCTTATTGCCATAGTGATGATAAATGTAATATTGTGTCTACTCTGTAAGTCGCTTTGGATAAAAGCGTCTGCCAAATGCACAAACATAAACATAAACATAAACTTAAGTGCGTCTGACAGATAGGAGCTCCGTGTTTGCGGGTTTGGATCCGGACCGGAAGTCTCGCGTGGCCTCTGGCAGCTGTTTGAGCCTCTGAGGAGAAGTCTCTGACCAGGATCAGCCCCGGTGCTCAGCCCCCGGTGCTCAGCCCCCGGTTACCGGGCTCCGGTGCGTGGGAGCAGGGCCTCTGCTGCCCCCTGGCGGCGGTGGGCGGGAGGACGGTCAGCGGCAGCCACAGGTCTCACTTCCTGACCCGTTTAAATAACCGAGCTGACATTTAACACAAAAGAACCGATGTTTTTTCTGTGTTAAATACCAGCAGCCAAATATAGCCGGCAACAGTCTGCCTGTGAGGCCGAAAGTCTCCATCTGAGGTCAGGTTTTATTTCTCATGTTCAGCAGAAGAATGTGGCCGACTCCAGGTCCAGTCAGGAGCCTTTGGATCCAGATGTGAAGCTGTGGACTGACCGGTTCCTCACAGGCTTATTAAAGGAGGACATCACCTCATATTACAGAGTCACATTGGACTAAAACATGGTAAATAAACAACAATATGATTTAAAAATATGGTCAGTTCGGCCCCCAGTATTTCTTTTGACCCCCTTTGACTTAAATTTAACTGTTTTCTGGACCAACCCAGTTTGTTACTGATATATTTGTAAAAATCTGCAGTCAGAAGCCCAAATAAAAAAGTCATAATTTGGAATTTAAAATAAGATTAATGAAACAGCTCCTCTTATGAATCATACAATCTTGCATGGGCAAAAAAAGTTTAATACCTGTGGTTCAAATATTCCTGTTTGAAAGGATCGTGTCTGTTTTTAAACCAGTAGCTTTAATCATCTTATAAAGGAGCCATTTCAGCATCTTTGTCAAACCGTTTTATTTGATCATTTTAAGTGTCATACACAATACAAATATAGTACATAAGACAGTAAATGAGTGGCACAAAACCAGCTACAATGAATCGGCTGATCTAGAATTGAGTAGAAATGTTAGTTTGAAGTTCCCTTAAAAAGAAATAAGAAATGTCCATGTGAAGGCGACTTTTTCCAGGTATCTCTGGGCTGCCAACTGAAGGTTGGATGTGTTGTTGGATGGACCTTGGATGTCAAAAAAGATATAGTCTTCCTAGTTTTCCCTCCTGGTGACCTCCCACTTTGGGTCTCCTCACACACCGGTCCATCATCAGATGTGAGTAAATCCTTCTTCTTCTAAACGTGGCCAAATTCAGATTAGGTCAAATGAAAACGCCTTTTGGAAATCTCTCAGCCTAAAAAGCCCAGCTGCCCCCAGACAAAGGGCCACTCAGAAGTCCACTCTGGAGCAGTTCAACTCCACTAACGGCCTCACATGTGTTGCAGGACTCGGTAATGGGAGCGGACAGAGGACAGAGGAGTGCAGCCGGCCTGCAGGATCTGGCTATCAGAGATATCTCATCTGGTAATCCGCCCCCGGCTGCATCTCACTACAATCAGACGAGAGCATCAGCTGTCACACGTTACTGAACCCTCCCAACGTCCACTCAGCTGACAGAGAGCAAACAGGTTTCTCTAAAAGTTTCAAAAAGCCCGGTCACAAAAAGTCTTTAGGTCCTTTTTAAGTCCAGAAAGAACAGAACAGAACAGCTAAGCAGGTACAGGTATAGTAAAAGGCTCCTCCTGGTCCTTAGCTGAGGAGCTCAGGCTGAGCTTTTGTGCTCCCGCCTTAAAGCCTCAGCATGGACTCACAGCCTCACGTTGAATCAATCGGTGTAGAAATAAAGTACAAACCAGCCTGAGCTCAAAGATCGAGTTTGGCTGAATGTGAGCGCTTTGTTCTACAAGCAAAATGACTTTACACATGTACACACATTTTCTGGAAAAGGTATCCAAGACGAGAAGATGCTCTGAATATGTTTCAAGTCAGCATTAGACTTTG